AGATCACTGGAGAGTCGTGGGGAAGATCTGAAAACACAGCTGACAGAGGCGCAGGCGACCATAGACACACAAACACACACTATTTCGTCACATGTGGACACTATTTCGTCACATGTGGACACTATTTCGTCACTGGAGAGTAGTGGGGAAGATCTGAAAAAGCAGCTGACAGAGGCGCAGGCGACCATAGATACACAAACAGACACTATTTCGTCACATGTGGACACCATTTCATCACTGGATAGTAGTAGGGAAGATCTGAAAAGGCAGCTGGCAGACGCGGAGACGAGTGCGGATGAACAAGAGCACACCATTGCATCGCTACAAGAGAGCAATGCCAATGTATGTGCGGAGTTGGTCACCGCAAAGGCCACCATCGCCGATCAAGAGCGAGCGGCAGATAACTTGCAGGATCGCCTGCAGAGCATGGAGAGCACACAGAGGGAGCTCAGGAATGTAGAGAGCAACCTGAGGAATGCCCAGAGTAAGATGCGGGAAACGGTGAAGGGGCTCCAGGGCGAAGTGTGTGGTTTGCAGCAGACCGTCAACGAGCAACAAGTGATCGAGAAAACACTCCGAACGGAGCTGGCGGGGTTGCGTGTGAGTGAAGCCGCACTCCAGAAACAGATCGAAGTTCTAAAAATAGAACGCCTTCAGTCACGTGTGGAGACATTGCAGGAGAGTGAGGCGGCGTTGCAGGCTCAGACGGTTGCGGCAGATGCGCTAGAGAGTTCTTTGCGAGGCGAGATAGTCGACGGCCAGCTAAAAATAGAACAGGGGGAGCTAAAAATAGAACAGCTGCGTGGAGATTTGGCGGGAGTCACTGAGGAGCTGGCGGCACAGACCCACAGGGCGACGAATTCCAGTGCACATGTGGCCGAAACGACTGCACTAACAGAGCAGAAAGTGCGGTACATCGAGGCCCTGCAAGAGAAGTCGAGTGGTCTGGAGGCTGCGGTGGCCACACTGACGCGAGTGGAGGTGGACAATATGGCACGAGTGGGGGTGCTGCAGGAGACCGTGGGCGAGCAAGCACAGGCACTACAGACACTGCGCGATACGGAGACGCGGCTGACGAGAGAGCTGGCGGAGTCATGTGACGGTCTCCAAGAGGCGCGCGAGAGGACTGTGGGGCATGTGGAGAGGATCGATGTGTTGGAAGACAGCGAGAAAGGGCTGAAAGCCGAGATGGCTGCCATGGAAACGCGCGAGAGTTTGCTCCGGGCGGAGTGTGCCGAAGCGCGGCTGCAGGCGCAGACGTTGGCTGTGGCTGTGGAGGTGTTGGAGACGACAGAGACGGAGCTCAGAGCTCAGCTGTGCGAGTCTCGCGAGTCTGGTGATACAATACAGAGGCAATTGGACGGGCTGAGCGAGAGCGAGCGTGTACTGAGAAGCCAGGTGGACAGTACACAGCAGCAGCTGAGGGACGTTGAAGAGAAGCGTGGGGCGGTGCAGGATGAACTGGTGAGTACTTGTGCAACGCTGAGCGGGAAAGTAAAGGAGCTGGGAAATGCTGAGGAGCATCTAAAGAGTGCCGAGGAGCAGCTAATGAGTACTCAAGAGCAGTTAGCGAGCACCACGGACCAGTCGACGTGCGTTCAAGAACAGTTGATGAGTGCTAATGAAGATATGCGAAACACCCAAGAGCTTGTGGAGAGTATAAAACAAGAGCTAGGGAGTACGAAGGAACAGCTAATGAGTACTCAAGAGCGCTTAAAGATCACTGAGAAGAAATTGACGAGTGCCTGTGAAGAGTTAATGGGTACCAAGGAGCAGCTGACGAGTACTCAAGAGCAATTAACAAGCACTCAAGAGCAACGGACGAGTGCTTGTGAGGAGTTGACGAGTACCAAGGAGCAGCTGACGAGTACTCAAGAGCAATCAACGAGTATTCAAGAGCAACGGACGAGTGCTTGTGAGGAGTTGGCGAGTACCAAGGAGAAGCTGACGAGTACTCAAGAGCAATTAACGAGTATTCAAGAACAATTAACGAGCACTCAAGAGCGCTTAAAGATCACTGAGAAGAAATTGACGAGTGCCTGTGAAGAGTTAATGGGTACCAAGGAGCAGCTGACGAGTACTCAAGAGCAATTAACAAGCACTCAAGAGCAACGGACGAGTGCTTGTGAGGAGTTGGCGAGTACCAAGGAGCAGCTGACAAGTACTCAAGAGCAATTAACGAACACTCAAGAGCAACGGACGAGTGCTTGTGAGGAGTTGGCGAGTACCAAAGAGCAGCTGACGAGTACTCAGGATCAATTAACAAGCGCTCAAGAGCAACGGACGAGTGCTTTTGAGGAGTTGTCGAGTACCAAGGAGCAGCTGACGAGTACTCAAGAGCAATTAACAAGCACTCAAGAACAATTAAGGAGCACTCAAGAGCAACGGACTAGTGCTTGTGAGGAGTTGGCGAGTATCCAGGAGCAACTGGCGAGTAATCAAGAACAATTAACGAGTACTCAGGAGCAATTAACGAGTACTCAGGAGCAATTAACGAGTATCCAAGAGCTATTGACGAGTGCTTGTGAGGATTTGGCGAATACCAAGGAGCAGCTGACGAGCACGGAAGATGAGCTTACCACTGCTCGAGAGCAACTCATGAGCACTCAGCAAGAGCTGGTGAGTAGCCGTAGCAGACTGGTCAACGGCGAGGATGATCTGACAAGCACTCAGAAGCAGTTGGTACATACGCAAGAGCAGCTTATGTCTATGCAGGATGAGCTCACAGACACTCGAGATGGCCAGAGAATCGCTCAGAATGAGCTCGCAAGCACTCGGGATGAGCTAGAGAGTACTCGCGGGGAGCTGCAGGGCTGTGAGGAACGGCTGGCAGTTCGGGACACACAGCTGACAACCGCTCATGAGCAACAGAAAGATACTCTGAATGAGCTCACGAGCACTCAGAATGAGCTTAAGAATACTCAGAATGAGTTAACGAGTACTCATACTGATCTGATACACAGTGGGGAGCGTCTGGCACTTAGGGACGAGGAGCTGGCCACGACTAAGCAGCAGCTACTATGCACTCACGAGGAGTTGGCGGGAGTAAAGGAGCAGCTGCAGAGTACTAAGGAGCAAGTGACAGTGGCTCAGGAGCAGCTGGCAGGCACTACTCAAGAGTTTACGAGGACCAGCCATCAGCTAGAAAGTGCTCTTAAGGAGTTAAAGAGTACATCTGAGGAGCAGACGATTACTCAGGAGCAGTTATCGAGTATCCAAGAGCAATTGAATACAGCCCAGAAGGGGCGCATATGTACAGAAGGGCAGCTGGAGAATACGCAAGAGCAGTTGGGCTGTACTCAAGAGCAATTAAGGAGTAGCTGTGAAGAGCAAAGGAGTACTCAGGAACAGCTGGAAAGCACACGAACGGAACTGACAACTATCCGGGGAGAGCTCACCGTCACAGCGAAAGAGTTAAGGAGTGCTCGAGATGAGCTGTCGAGTACTCAAGAGCATCTGAGGACCAATGGCGAGGAGATGGCGAGTATTCGGGAGCAGCTGAGAAGTACTCGTGCGGATGCCTTGAGTACTGAAGACCGACTGATGTCATCACAACAGGAGAAAAAGAAGTCTGAATTAGAGCTATCGAGCACGAAGGAGCAACTGACGAGTACTCAGTATGAGCTACAGAGTACTCAGAATGAGCTGCAGAGTACTCGAGCGAAGCTGGGTACCACAACCAAGCAGCTATGCAATATCCAGGAGGAGCTGACTAGTGCTCGCGAGCAACTGGTAGAGCGAGACACGGCAGTGAGTGAATTGCGCATGTGTGTAGATAAGCTGGAACTAACGGCTGAGCAGAAGGCACAATCACTGGGCAAGGTGGTCTTTGACTTACAGGCGAACAAGGAGGTGGTAAACACTGAGCTTATTTCGGCACGTGAGGAAATAATCGCACACCAGGCCGCCCTTGCAGTGGCGAAGGAGAAGCTGGCAGCGAGCGAAACGCGCGAGATTGTATTGGGCAGTGAGATTGGTAAATACGAACAACAACACAAAGCACTCAGCAATGACATACAGCAGCTGAAAGATGAGATTAGTAAACACGAACAGCAACAGAAAACACTCAGCAGTACTATAGAGCAGCTGAGAGATGAGATCATCAAACACAAACAGCAACACAATACCTTTGCCAAGCGAGCGGAGGGTGTGGAGGCAGAGCTGCAGCAGAAACAGGCCAGCGCCACAGCCACACTCGACGACGTAACAGCACAGCTAGCACGGGCGCAAGAGACATTGCACGCGAGTGAAGCCCAGGCACAGTCGCTGAGGGAAGCCTTAGTAGACCGGGAGCGGGAGTTCAAGGAGAGGCAGGAGGTGTATGTGAGAGAGATAACGCACAGAGAGCTAGGGTATGAAGTGATGGTGGTGGAGGGAGAGCGCACACAGGCCGAGAAGAAGCAACTTGAGGCAGAAATGGGGCATTTTGAGTCCGAAATAGGGCGCCTGAGGGCCAGAATTGAACAGTTGGAGACTGAAAAGGGACTTGCGCAGACACAGTTATGTGCCGCGCAGGACGACGGTATGCGTTTATCGGGTCTGTTGGACACGACGAATGGAGAGCTGCAAGAGCTGCGGGAGAGGACAGTGGCTCAACAGGATATAGCAGCCACACAGGAGCTAGAGACTGAGCGGAAGGCGAGTTTGCTAGGTAGCCCTGAGCAGGTAGTAATATGTAGTACTACGCGTGAGGACGGGCCGGGTTGTGGCCTATGCCCCGCACTCCGGATACAGAAGGGACAGCTGGCTGCGGAGTTGGAAACGCTACGAAAAGAGAAGGACGACATCTGCGAACAAGTAAGCCTCGCCAAACGTGTTGTATTCAGTGCATATAATTTGGTATATATGGTTTGGCATATGGATATGACCCGTAAACCTAGTTTATATACTAGGTACTCAGTTCACCTAAAACCATAAAACCTTACACTCAAACTTCTATATCCTAAAACCTTATACCCTGAAATATTATTCCCTAAAACCCTATACCTTGAAAACTTATTCCCTAAAACCCTGCTGTACAGGCCGTGGTTCACTACACAGCACTCAATGGAACCATACAAGATCTCAAGGACCGACTGGTCTATTTTGAGCAGGAGCATGCCGATCAGGCAACGGAGATACGGCGGTTGGAGACAGAGATTGAGGTGTGTTTAAGGCCATACTTCGTGCAAAGACGGTTGTGTATATGTGTGTGATATAGGCATCGCTATGTGGGTAGTGCAGAGGATGTACATACAAAGAGACAAGGTACGTGTGTGTATGTGAATACGGCTGTTGGAGACAGAGACTGAGGTGATTTTGAAGCCATGCTTAGTACGAATACGGTTGTGTATATGTGTGTGATATGTGCATTCGGATATGTGTCGTCCAGTGGGTGTACTCACAAATAGATATGCTACGTGTGTGTATGTGAAACAGATAGACCCGTGTTCGTATTCTTACCGTGTGGCTATATTATGTATCGCTCGAACGCAGGTATCTCAATAGAGATACAAGTATATGTCAACTATGTTCAATAGAAAGGAGTGTGTGGCCCAACATGTGCCATATTTATTTTAAGGTGTCCATGAATTAGCCTCCAAGACTGTAGACGTCTCTACTCGAATGACCACAAGTATAAAGAACGCACTCCGATTGAGTCATAAGTTATACTAACGGTTAGCAGAGGCGAAACCCTACCAAGTTCGCATAATATATATATATATATATATATACTTGTATTATGTATATATACATATGTATATATATATGTATATATTTATATATACATATTATATATATATATATGTATGTATATATATATATATATGTGTGTGTGTGTGTGTGTGTGTGTGTGTGTGTGTTGTTAGTATGTATAGTATATGTATACGTATATATATATATATACTACTGTATACGTAAGTTACGTTACGTTTAACTTTTACTTAAAATTTAAATTTTAAAA